CGGAGGTGTCGCGCACGGGAGCCTCTGTCATTGCACCAGGCTCCCTGCCCTCCAACAAAACGCGGGCTTCGGCTTCCTCAGCCTCAAACAAAGCATCAAAAACTTCGTCTCCTGGTGCAGGGTCCTGCACTCTCGGAGCTTCTTGCTGTCCTCCCCGCCCACCGCTCCCGAAGTCCACCCGCACCCCCGTTTCTCTCTCAGCAATCCTAGCCCTCAGAGGGGCCAGACACGCCAGATGAGACGAGCACGGCGGAATGAGATGAACCCGCGAAGCGGTGGCGAAAGCACGCACCGCAGCTCCTGACGCTGGCCGTTCAGGAGCTGCACAAGACACTGCGACATTGCGCTGAGGGTGGAGGCCTCTCTTGAGCCTACTCAGCACACTGGCACCTGCACTGTGTTCCCTTGGATCACACATCCCTGCCAGATTACGCACTTTTTCTTGCGAGTAGCTACCACAAAGCATACAAAACACCAGGGGCAGCTCCTCCTCACCTACTTGCGTACTAGCTAACTTGTGGCCATGGGAGGGGGCCTCAGAGAGCAACTTGGTGAGGCTTCTCGAGAGACCCTTACACCCCACCTCTGGCCTATCTTGGAGGTGTCCCCCATAAAAACTTAAACACTTGGCGCACCTGTGACCCCACAGCCAGGGTTCCCAGTCGTGCCAGCTCGTTGCGCAATCAATGACCTTGCGCTGGCGCTCACGACGGGGCGGGCGTTGGTGGTGCACCCTAGGAAAACACGGCCACACATTCGCCACAAGGCGGGCGACCGTTTCGAGACTCTCGATCGAACTATCTAACTGCTGCCAGTCGGCGGGCGCGGGCCTGGGATGGAGGTCAAGGGCTCCTTTCGCTTCCCGATCCGCTCGCCAGTTAGCCTGGCCTATCCACCGCTCAGGTGGTGGCAGTTGCTCGATGTCTTCTAACTTCCTATGGGCTGGGGTGTGAACAGCTGGGGCATACTTTTGATTCTTCATGTGGAGCAAGGCCCCCCTTCTCAACCCTCCATAACGTTGCTTGGCCGACACTTGACATGACGGTTCCATGCTATCCAGTTTGACGGCATTCATGCAGTCGCTGTACAACGTCGGCCCATGATTTGGCACATATATAGGTAACAAAGCGAGCTGGAGCTGTTCTGCCGCTTGGCTGGTTTGGGGTAGGCTCGGCCACACAACTCCTTTTGCAACATACCTCTGCACACCCTCCGCATCAAAGAAAACCCACGAGTACGCCGCCCTCGAGAGTTCTCTGATGGTGTGCCTGGCGCACGACCCATCTCCTGCTTGGAAAAAGGCGGACCCATCAAACTGCTCCCACTCCACTTTTTGCCCATTCATGTCGAACAGCTCAGGCTCGTGCACATCCGAAAGGTTCGGCCACTCGGCCGCTGGGTGCTGAAACTTGAGGGCCTCGAAAAACTGCGTGTCCCCGCACTGAGCACGCTCGATAAAGGCCGTGGAGACGTCGGCGGCCTGCCTTGCCGCGACGACTTCCTCGTGCTGGCATCTGAAGATCCTGTGGCCTACTGAGTCGGGCTCTTGACACAGGGGGCAGAGGCCTGGTGTGATGTATCCTGACCGCAAAGCCCTGTCCTCGGTCCAGAGCCCTTCACAAAAACACGCCATCACTAAGTATTTACCCTGGGCGTTGAGACCGATACCTTTTATCCCAGACCTCGTAATGCGTCGGACCGGTTCAACACACACTCTGGTCCCAGGGGTCCACCCGAGCTTTTCCCCCAGGACGCGCTCGTGGTGCCTCTGAACCCCTAAAGAGAGCCAGTGCCCCATCATTGACGGGGTGGTGTACAGCAGGGGTATCTCCACGCCATTATCATCGCGCCAGTCGAGGGGGGTGTAGGCTTCCCACCCGATGCGCTGCAGGGAGAGGTGCATTCGACTGATCGGGCCTTTGCTTTTAGCCCAGTTGTGGCCTGCGGGCGGGACGGTCCGCCACATACTGCACAGCTCCTGAATCGAGAAGAAGGCGTGCTCGGGGCGCGTGGTGGCCATCCAGACCGCATGTGACCACGCCAGCGCAGGGGCGATCATGCTCCTCCACATAGGGTCACCTAGGAGCGCCGTCTTGGCTCTCAACGAAACCCCAGCATGCCTGGGGGCCTGGAACGACAACATCACACTACGCGCTCGCTTAAGTTCCGCGTCGCTCATCCCGACCACGGTGTCCCCGAAGCTTAAACCAGGTTTGACCCCCGCCGTGTAGATTTTCCCAATCCTGAAACGCTTCCTGGGGAGGGCCTTCCTATACTTACACAAGGTCCTGTGTCTCTTGATCATGTCCTTTATCCTGCATCGTCTTTTGTTCAGATGGCCTTTCTTACTCCGTTCGCCCCCAGGGGCGAGGTCGCACCCTAAGGTCACCATGTGGGTCCCGACCTGACCCGCCAATTTGTCGAGCTGCTCCCCGAGGCGACAAGCAACCCTGGGGGACGATCCAAAGGTCATCAACTTATCATGGGCTAAATTGACTCCGAGCTCCTGCTTGAAAACGCGGTGCAAGTCCTGCGCAGCAGCAGTGAGCGTGTGGATGACCTCGGTCTCGTGGCCGTACGCTGAGACCGTGTCATCGTCCACATACGACGCCAGGTCAATACTGGGGTTCCGTCTCACGAAACCGTCGAAGGCTCGAGCGCATACACTCGCACAAAGATATCGTTAACAAATCGACCCCGCTGGCAGCCCGCTTTTAGCGTGCAACACCGCCAGCGCATGATCCGTGCCTAAACGCAGGATCCGAGGGCCCCTCCAAAAGTTGTACGTGACTTTGAGCACCACGGGGTCGAGGCCAGCTCTCTGGCCCCTGTCGCGCAGAAGTCTCAGGTCGAAACTCTCATAGTACTTCGGGCCGCCCCACGAACAACCCGCAGTGACCCCGCCTTCAGCCACTCGGGCCTCCGCTTTGACCGCCTGGTTCCACACGCTTCCTTCCGCCGACTTCCCAGCACCGAAGGCCCAGTACCTACGCGGGTGACGGTCGTTGAAGGACGTCAGCTTCGATCTCCGAAGCCGCTCCCAAAGCCTAATTGGGGAGGAACACAACAGAATCGGGCGCAACCCACCTTTCGCCTTTTCCAAGAGGGGGAAGAGCATCCAGTACAACGCCCGAGGAAAACGACCTATCTTTTCAACGCACTGAAAAATGCACGCCAGGGTGTCGAGGCCCGTGTCCGACATACAAGCGAACTGCCGCACGTGCACCCCATCCAGGGACTGAGCTGTGTGCGGCGAGAACATCTTGGCTGCAGCTCGCAGCTCCGCCGCGGTGGCTCGCTCAAAACAGTGCCTATCTGGGACTTCAACAGGGGGTGGGGTGGTGGTGGCATTCCAATATCCTCCCAAAACATTGGCTTCATGGGCTAACAACTCCCTCGGGTCCGACGTGAAGGTCCCAGGGCTGGTTTCTATCACCGTCGGTTGCCACTTGGCCTTCAACCTCGTAAGCCTATGCATCTTTCGGGCCGACCCCGCCAGGGCCTCGGTCTGCCACTGGTCCCAGCTCTGCTTAGCTTTTCGATCCAGCCCGTCACGGGCCGCTTGAAAATCCTCAGCCCAATCCTCTAAAGTCTCCGAGCAGTGATCGATCCATCCCGCGAGGGCCACCAGGTCTTGCGGCCATGCCGCCGCCAGCTCGCGTGCCTTGCGGACAGTGAGATCCAATCTCGGAGACAAACCTTCAGCTTCAAATGGCTGAGAGACAATCTGCACAAGGTTAAGGGCAGCCTGCACTTCACTATGATCAATGAACTTGTCAGCTTGGACGAGGATGCGCTGACTAGTGTTCCTAAGGTCATTCATCCCCTGTTGCAGCCACACCCATCCCTCCCCGATGCGCACCTCATCATCATCTTTGCACTTCGGGGGGGTCATAACAGGCACCCACTTAGCCTGCAGCTGCTTACCTTTAAGTCCTTTACGTTTGATGGGGGTGCCCGTTCTACTTTCTAACTCTAACTCCATCGCGTCCGAGAAAGCTTTCCACGCACTGTCCAGGATCCCCCAAACAAGCCCAACCTCGTCCTGGTCGGCCCTGCGGTTCGCTTCTTCGGCCACAGCTTGGGCCACGGACCAGTCGATCGGGGGGGGGTGGGGCCGACGGGCAAATCCACTGGGAGTTTTTGGTGAGTCTGGTACACCAGTTGCCGCAGCTTGGTTGCCCCAGGCCTTGATCGAAGCTGCACAGGGCGGTGGGGCCTCTTCGGCCACGTGCTGTCGACCACGGTGGTCTGCACAAGCTTGCAGAAGGCCGCGGACGCCATGAAATAATCAATCTTGGCGTTTGCTTTCGGCGTGGCGCACGTTTCGATACTGGGCTGCATTATCGTCATGGAGGCCTTGCGAGGCATGCCGGACGCCTCCGCGACCACGGCCGAGAAATTCCAATCCGCAGCAAACGCCGAGAGATGCACACCTTCTAAGACTTCACCTGCATGTCTTAAAATCTGGAGGTTCCGCTTGCTCAGCCCCTCACTGGTGAACATGTACGCGCATCCCGCTAGCAGCTCTGGCCATCCTGGAATATCAATCGTAGCGAAGATCAGTCTGTGTTGAACAAGTATGCCTCTAGGGAGCTTAGTGGGCCACCTCAGGCCGATGGACGTCCGTGCAAGTATCGCCACTCCAGCTGACGTTTGCCCACCTGCGCACTTGACCGACGGGGTGCAAAGCATGTTCCAGCCTAAACTCTTAGCAGCCGAAGTTCTCGCTGCCAGGTCTTCATCAGTAATACCTATTTCCTGTGCAAACACCACCAGGGCCTGTGTACTCCTCAGCCTCTTCCTGAGTGTGCCCCAGCTGTTACCGTTATCAGATTCAAAAACAAGCGTCTGACCCTCCAGGTCAGCAGGGGCGGCGGCTTTAGGCGGTAAGCCAACTCCGTGTGCCGTGACACGCAAACCAGTGCACTTGGGCCCCAGGTGGGGCCGCACACGGGCACTGTCACGCAAGAATGGCGGCTGCGGAACCTCAGAGGGACTCACGTGCTCGGGCACTGCCTTGTGCCTGGCGACACGCTCCTCGTCATCCTCGCTAAACTTGATACCCTGTCCGTACTGCAGCACGTCCAGTAGGTACCACACTGCCTTCAGGTCCATGTAGGTCTGAAGGTTGAGCCACTTCTCGTCGCACGTAACCTCGAAGAAGTGCACAGCGTCATCAGGTAAGGCTTGAGGAACTTCTGACCTTGCATCGTCAGTAGCCTGTCGCCGATGATCACCTTCGCCAGGAACATCTGGCATGCGTCCGACGCCCTCAGATCCCGAAGAACCTGAGGTATGTTTTTCATCACTGCATGAAGCAAAAGGTTTGGAGGAGAATCTCGCCGCCGTCCGCGTCGAGCCATGCCACCTAGCCCATGACGGTGGGTGGCTAAAGCTGCGGCGCCGTCTTCGGCTTCTTGAGCTGAGCGCCCAGCAGGGCTTGGGTGAAAGCACGCTTGTCACCGCGGTGCTTCTCCCAGAAGGCCTCTGCCGCTGCCTCGTCCTGGAACGCGTCATCCATCTCCTCGTCGTGTGGCGTGGGCACCTGCTCACCGTCGTCGACGTTGGATTCAGCGTCTGCATCAGGGCCAGAGGCAGCTCGATGCACAGCAAACAACTTAACAAACTCCTTGAACTCGGCCGTCTCGAGCATGGACTTGATCGCGTCCTTGCCTTCCAAAGCCTCAGGAGGAAGGGGGAAATCGACGGGCCTCTTGTCGCCCATGTCAGATGCCTGACCAGGGAGCGACTGCACGTGCTGCCTCTGAAGTTCAGCGACCTCAGCCTCCGCGGCGATCTTGCGTGCCCTGGTCTCATCCGTCTTGACATTGAGCTCATCGAGCAACTTGATGTGCTCCTCCAGCTCTGTCGTGACCTTCTCCATCTTAGTAGTAGCACGGGCCAAGCGATGCCCCACATTGGTGTGCTGCGTGATACTCGGCTTCTTGCTCTCGATCTCTGAGCGCACGGCCTTGAGCTTGGTCTCAAGCAGCGTCCGTGCCTCGATCGTGTCGTCGCTCTTGCCACAGGCCTTGATCGCGCCCTCCAGCTCGAGCACTCGCGCCTGCAGCGGATCTTGTCCATCGCCACCACCGCCGTTGGACTGCGTGCCCCCATGTTGGCCAGGCCCCTGTCCAGTGGCGGGGGCACGGGCAGCCTTGGTAGCACCTCCGATGACCTGGTCCAGCTTCTTCTGCAACTCTGCCAGCTTGGATTCCAGTTTGGCCTCACGCCGCGAGCCAGCAGCAGGAGGACGGCCACGGCCAGGCTCCAGCCGAGGAGGGCTCCCGCCGCCACCAAAGGACTTGGCGCGCTGCAGCGCGAACGCGGGAGCCTTCGCCCCGCAGCGGCACCGCAGCCTGCACGCCCAGTTGCTGGTGAGCCCGCAGCTCTGGCAGCCCCAGAAAGGCGTCTTGGGGCCGCGGACCACATCTGCACCATCCATGAAGGCCGCCGCACAACTGTGCCTGCGACCGAATCCCTCGGAGCGCCGAGGGGCGAAAGACTTGCACCTCCAGGTGCTCACTGAAAAGCTAGCTGAGGCAGCCAGGCCAAAGGGAAGGGGCCGCCCTTCCACCTCAGCCTCGAGCCTTGAGCCAAAATGGCTACGGGAGGAACGGTGCTGAAGAAAGCGATGATTTATTTCCCAACCATCCTGTGGTGTTGGGTCCTCGTTTTGAAGAGACGTCGCCCCGCGTTCTCCTCCTCTCCTCCTCCTGCTCCCCCTCCCCCCTCCCTCCTCCCACCATCATCGTCATCATCATCATCGCCGTCGTCATCATCACCGCCATCACCATCATGGTCGTCATCATCACCATCATCGTCATCATCACCATCATCGTCGTCATCACCATCATCGTTGTCCTCGTCGCCATCATCGCACGTTTCGTGGCCCCATACGGAGCCCCACCGAAGGCCCCAGTGGGTGTGCCCGCATGCGTCCCGCACACCCATTTTGGCACACCCCTCACACGCTTCGTGGCCCCATAGGGAGCTCCACCTAAGGTCCAAGTGGCGCAGCTCGCATGGCGCCACCGCCCCATTTTGGCACACCCCTCACACGTTTCGTGGCCCCATAGGGAGCTCCATATACGGTCCAAGTGGCGCAGCTCGCATGGCGCCACCGCCCCATTTTGGCACACCCCTCACACGCTTCGTGGCCCCATAGGGAGCTCCATCTACGGTCCAAGTGGCGCAGCTCGCATGGCGCCACCGCCCCATTTTGGCACACCCCTCACACGTTTCGTGGCCCCATAGGGAGCTCCATCTACGGTCCAAGTGGCGCAGCTCGCATGGCGCCACCGCCCCATTTTGGCACACCCCTCACACGTTTCGTGGCCCCATAGGGAGCTCCATCTACGGTCCAAGTGGCGCAGCTCGCATGGCGCCACCGCCCCATTTTGGCACACCCCTCACAGATTTCGTGGCCCCTCAGGGAGCTCCTTTTGGCACACCCCTCACACGTTTCGTGGCCCCATAGGGAGCTCCACCTAAGGTCCACGTGGCGCAGCTCGCATGGCGCCACCGCCCCTTTTTGGCACACCCCTCACACGTTTCGTGGCCCCATAGGGAGCTCCATTTACGGTCCAAGTGGCGCAGCTCGCATGGCGCCACCGCCCCATTTTGGCACACCCCTCACAGATTTCGTGGCCCCTCAGGGAGCTCCATCTACGGTCCAAGTGGCGCAGCTCGCATGGCGCCACCGCCCCATTTTGGCACACCCCTCACACGTTTCGTGGCCCCTCAGGGAGCTGCGCCTAAGGTCCCAGTGGTGCAGCTCGCATGGCACCCCTTCACACGTTTCGTGGCCCTGGACTGCGGCCGCCACGAGGTCGGGAACGGCAAGAAGGAGGACGACGACTGGTGGCTGGAGCTCTATGTGCTGCTTCTCGCGCGCCACGCGCCACGAGGACCTCCTGCTCATGCGGGCGCCGCGCATCGAGTTCTTCCTGGCAGGACCGCCGGAGGGCCTGCGAAAGCAGCTGGAGCAGTTTGCAGCGCGCGCGAAGCGGTGCAGGAGGGAGGCGACGGCCCTCGCCAGGGAGCTCGGCTTCACCGAGTTTATCCGCGAGGCCTGACCTGAGGAGCGCCCCCCCCGAGCCGCGCCTTCTCTCGACTGCCCGCATAATTGTTCGGCCTCGCGCCGCGGACGACCCGCGCGCGTCGCTGGGACCCTCTCGGGGCGACCAGCGCGCGTCGCGGGGATTCCGCGCGGCGCTCTGCTCAGCGCCTCGCTCGCCCGTCGTCGCTCTGCCCAGCGGCCGGAGCCTTGCCCGCAATCAGCCGGCCGGCTAGCTCTCTGTGCTCCGCGCAGCGGACGACCTGCGCGCGTCGCTGGGACCCCTCCGCGGCGACCTGCGCGCGTCGCGGGGACTCCGCGCTGCTCTGCGCCCGCAGCTTTGGATTTTTGGAGCGCGCAGGCAAAGAGGGGGGAAAGGAAGGGACGGAAGCGGGTGCGATCCCCGTGAGGGGCGTGCCGACATGGGCGTCGCGGCGCGCGGGCGCTGCCGTCGGGGTTCCCGCGGAAGCTGCCTGCGGCGGCCACGCCCAGTGTCACAAGTGTTCGGACAGGCATGCTCGAGCCATTCACATTCATATACATTTACACTAGGCGTAGCCAAGATCGCACCCATGCAAATATACTCACTCCCACGCAGACCCATTCACACTCAGACTCTCTCGCGCTCTGGCTCACCCGCGTTCATTCTTTCGTAATCTGACCTATCGTATTCCTTTGCGTTGTGTACCCCGCCATATTTCGGCATGCCCCTCATGCGGTTCGTGGCCCCATAGGGAGCGCCACCGAAGAAGGTACTCACAATTGCGGCACTCACAACTGCATATGGTTGGGTTCTTCGCCAGGATAATGTTTTGCCAGGGAAGCGTCCGGAACAAGGCGCATGTCGCGAAGCGACGCTGCAGTCTTGCGTATATCTAGATATATTTATACTCGACTCAGATGTTCGCATCCAAATTGGGGCGCATAGTGCTAGTATGGCCGCGTGCCTCCGAGAAGGAGGCATAAACGAGCGCAGAGTAGAAAACCAGCGTGGGGCCGCGAGCGACAGGAAGGAGGAGGAGGAGGAGGAGGAGGGGGAGGAGGAGAAAAGGAATAATAAGAAGAAGAAAAAGGAAAAAGAGCAGGAGGAGAAGCATAAGGGGCTTGGATTTGTCCTTGGAGCGGGAGTGGGCAGCATGAAGATGAGGATGCTTTGCAGTGCGGCCCCCATGCGCTCGGGGCGCTACAATTCCCAGTCCACAGAAGCCAGATGCGAGGGCCAGAATACCCTGGAGGCGAGCCGCGCCCAGAGCGACCCGAAGAGGCGGAGGAGGGAGGAGGAAGGACGATAATGACGTTTGAGCCAGCTTGGGGGCTGAGGTGGCCCAGCACTGGTGGGGTTCACGAGACGAGGGTCAATGTAAACGGGGGTCAGCCAGGGATCCGGATTCTGCAGGATCCTGCAGGGCCAGGGGTGCACTGACTCGGGCTTGCGTGCGAGATCCTGCAGGATCCTGCAAGACTTTGCAGGATCCTGCAGGGCCTGACTGACCCGGGTTTGCGTTGACCTGGGTCAGTGCGTCCCCAAATTGGTTTTGGCCAGCAGAAGAGGGGAAAAGGATACTCTGGACGCGGCTCGAAGAACGGACCCGATTCGACCGGAGGGATTTGGGGACCGATTTTGAGTGGTTTTGCCCTCGTCTCCCTTCTTGGCCGATGTTCTCGGGGCCCATCCATCGCGGACCCCCCAGGTCGCTGCCAAGAAGGAGCAGAGAAAACGTGAAGGCATGGGTAGTTGGGGCCTGGCACTGCGAAGTGGCCCAGGGCGAGAGGGGGAGGAATGGAGGAGGAAAAAGAGGAGGAAGAGGAAGGGTGGAGGAGGAAGGAGGGTGGAAGGAGGTGGGTCGAGGGAGGAGGGTGGAGGGGTTGAGGGGAGGAGGAGGATGGAGGGAGGAGGGTGGAGGGGAGGAGGAGGAGGAGGAGGAAAAAGAGGTGAAGGGCGAGAGTGGGAGGAGGGAAGAGGGCGGAGCAGGAGGAGGGGGTGGAGGAGGAGGAGGAGGAGGAGGAGGAGGGCCAAGGTAAGCCCAAGACTCATCAATGATGAAGAAATAAACCTTCCCTCCAAGCGACCTCTCTATTGGCCCATACAAGGATTAATTTCCACTGAGGGAAGTGCTCCGTTGGGAGACAACGGTTTAAAGATCCTGGATTGCACTAACACCATTTTCGGGACTCCACCGCCACGAATCAACCTGACTGTTGCGTCTCAGCGATCCTGATTCGTGCCAGAACATTATTCCTGGGGCGCTCACACCGCGAATCAACGTAACTGCTGCGCCCTGGCAGTCTTGAATCGTTCCAGAGCGACATTGTTGGTATGGTAACCATATGAGCCCATACAACTCCTGCAACTGTTTCACACGACTGCGCGCTGCGCTGAGGCGAGGCCCGCATTTTGAGAACCAGCCGCCCTCAATCCGTGAAGCTCTTGCAACTGTGAGGACGCGGCGATGAGGCGGGAGCCCCACTCTGGAAGTGGCCCGCCCTCCGATTTCAAAGCCTCAGGATCTACGTGCTGAGGCAGCCTCGGCCGACACGCCCAGCCTGCCCTTCCAACTGTCTTCGGCGTGCGGCAGGGCGGAGTTGTCTGTAAGGAACAGAGAGGAGGGGGAGGGGGAGGAATGGAGGAGGGGAGGCAGGAGGAGGCGGAGGAGGAGTGGACTGGGGAGGGGGAGAGGGCGAGAGAGAGAGAGAGAGATAGGGAGGGGGGAGGAGGAGGAGGAGGAGGAGGAGGAGGAGGAGGAGGAGGAGGAGGAGGAAGGAAAGGGGGAGGAGGGGGAGGAGGGAAGTTCCAATGGAGGGACAGGCAAATTCAGCGCATTCTTGTGTGTTTTCTGGACCTCCTGGAGGCAGCTCGTAGTCACGGTTGGATATGCCTCGAAATACGGGTCAGGATGGACCCATCGAGATTGGGAGCAGGAAGCGCGCCATCACCACCACCATTTGGGGGGATTCAGGATGAGTTGATGTGCGGGATGCAGGTGTGCATGATGTCCCGCGAGAGCGCCCGAACGGATGTACACCACCACCAGCCTTGACCACCTTCTGCCTGCATCCTCCAGGTGGGGGTACTTGTGGTGGTGCGTCTCATGTTCTCTAGGAGAGATCTGGGAACTGGCTGTCGACTGCAAGGATGTAGGTCGGGCGGGAATGTTGCCGATTTCTCAAGTGGCCTGCCTCCAAGAGGGGGACGAGAGAAGGAGGGAGAGAGGATGACGACGAGGGGGATGGGCCCCTGGAAGCGGAGGACGAGGAGGGGGGATGAGGAAACGTCCTCTTCCCAGTCGTCCTCCTTCGCCTCCCTTCTCCCTCCTCCATTTCTGTGACGTTGGAAGTACGTACATAGGCATCGTGGCGCTCTCCCTCTTCCTCCTCATCCCTTTCCG